CTACCTTGTCTTTTCCAGTGCCTCTTTCCTTGAGATGTAATAGTTCAGATGCATGTAGAAATATGTCACCTATACCTCTATAACTTTGATTGAATTATATTTCTGTATTGCTTATGAACTTGCCATGAATTTGCAATCATTATTAATAAATCAATGTGCTTTTGTCTTCTGTCACAAAGTAATGTATGCATTCAAAAAGAATTGTATGCAAACAAGTCATGTTTTAGAACTCATATCATTAATAATTATCAGTTTGCAGTATTGTTAAACATGTTTTGAGGGAAGCTTATTATAAAAAAAATAACAAGGCACTGCACAGTAGAAAGAATAAGACAGTTCAGTTGATCACTGGTATAGGTGTTATAAATATGCCAGTCTGTACTATAGTGTTTTATTAAGTCTCAAAAAGTCAAAGCTGATTTGAAATAATAATGTCTGACAGTCAGTGCTTTGAAGTTTTGCTGCTGCACTCTCACATTTAGGTTTTCTTTTATGTATGACTTTACCATAAAAAACAAAAACTCACACATGGCATGAACGTCTTTTTTTTCATATCTGTATTTCAAAGAAAGTAATAGGAGGCTACTTCAGTGAATTAAAAAGAAAAAAAAGGAACAACCCCCCAAAATCAATGAGGATAGGTGCAGGCCATTGTAAGGTCATACAGTATTCATGTAAGATATAGCTGTGGTTGGTAACTTGTTGACGACTGTAAAAGTGAAATTAAAAAAGACACACCAAAGAAAAAAAAATCTGAAAAAAAAGGGGAGAATAAGGATGAGACAAGAGGCAAAAACTACTCCTGATTCAAACAAGATGACTTTCATTCAGTCAGAAGAACTTGAGAGCTTGGCTGTGATAGCTAACACGCTCGTTCTTCATCACCGGTCGTGCAACAAAGAGCTGGATTCCATCCATTCCATGACTGATTGATTACCCAACGGACAAATGTTAATTCTTTTCATCGATGCTTTGTCATTGTGAAAAGATCCTTTTCAGCTAGCACCTAGGATTTTTCCCCTTGGCTTTTTTTTCCCCCCTGATTATATATCTTTTAACATCCTCTTCTCTTCACCTTTGCAAAACTGTCATGTCTAACAAGATTCTCACAGTACTTTAAACTCCTTTAGTTTACAATTAAAATTGCTAACTAAGTATGTAACAAACCGTGATATTAAATAATACTCAATGATTTAATTTAGTCATCATAATTATACTTAACCTGTTTGCTGTCCTTGAAAGAATTTTTTTTCCTAGTTCACAAGAGAATATAAAGGATGAGAAGCTGTATGTTTTTTAATATAATAAATTGCTCCAGCACAACTTCATGAGTTTGATCTTACATGTGCCAGTAGAAAATATGCTATTTTGTGGCATAAGCATAACTGTGGTTTATAAAGTCAGTGAGAAGAGCTAAAAATGTATAAATGCTAATTTCTTTCATTGCTTCTTTATAATTGTCTTTAGCAAGAATACCCCTGAATTTTGAAAATGTCGGGATCCACAAGGTTTTGGAATAGTGCTGAAGCAGAGCCTCAGTGCAGGGAGAGTGATGCAGTGCAGATGTGAATTTGGGCTTCTTTCTTCAATGTTCAGTGCTGGATTCCAAGTCGATGTTTTGTTTCTATATTGAATCAAATCAGAAAATGAATCAATATGGATGAAGACATTTTACTATGTCAGAAGATATCTTTGTAGATTTTATATGTCTGTAAAAATTAATTTTCAGTACAGAAAGAAGAAAAATCCCTTTCTGATTCAAAAACCTTTTCAAAATGTGTTTGTGAAAAGAGAATATAAAACTTAAAGCGAGACGTGCCTTTCAAGTATAAGCCTTTATATTTAGTTTTGTGTCTAATGTGGAAGACCTCCAGAGAGCTTTAACACATATCATTATTTTAAATTCTAAAAAATTATGCAGAATAAACATGCTAATTGAAAATTTACAGGATTTCAAGAGAGCTATTTTTACAATGTTATGAAAAAGTTTATTAAAAGGCTCATTGTGTAATCATTTTGTAATCTTCCCCAAAACAAAATACAGTAGCTATAAATTGTGTGGTCAGATCTAGAACATAGAATTTGAATGAGATAAGGGTGTTAAAAGAACTGATTCTTAAGGAATTTTTCAGTCATTTATAGAGATTAAAATTCTAACTAGCAATGTGATTAAATCAAAAAGATGGCACACAAATAGACCTGTTTTTCATTCTAGTTCTTTCTCAGTCTGTCTTCAGAAATGTATTTTTTTTCCTTACATAATGTAAGAATACTACATGGGTGCTCTTAAGAACAGTAAGAGAAGAAATAAAAGTGCATTTGAGGAAAGTATTTTCTCAACTACTGTAATATGCTAGTTACTTTTTTTTTTTTTTAAATGAAACGTCTTTTCTGTGTGTGAATTGAGGACAATATCTTAGGTAAAAGCATATATAACTTATAGCAAACATCAAAATAATACTCTAAAGCCTCTTTTTTTTTCAGGGACGAGGGGTCTGAAATTTTGGCAGGGCAGAAACACAAAAATGTCTTTTTAAACTAATCATGATATCACAAAAAAAGACAAATTATAATGTTCTATTGGTAATTGATGGTTATTTCTTGATTCTCCTATTATCAGGCCAGAACTCATAAAAGTAATAAGTGCTGTTATTGTTAAAAGTAAATTGTTATTATATAACAAGTATTTTAACACTGCCTATTGCAACTTACAGCTCCTTAATTTTGTCTCTTTCACAGAAAGATATAATTAGTAAATAAATTAGCTTTTCTGCTGAAATATTACTTCAAAAATATTTATGAGCTGCGTTGTCTTTCCATGGAGGCTTGCACAGTGAAAATGTGTTGCAATTAAAACCTGATCTTTGATCTTTTGGTAGTTACATTTTGATTTGCTTTCAACTGGTTTTTGTTTTGTTTCAGTTTTTTGTTTGTTTGTTTATTTCAAATGAGTGATGCTAATGTGAATTTTTAGGCTGAAATGACTTGCACCCTAAAATATGATTGGCCACATGACCTTTTTCTTCTTTAAACTTCCCCTTAAAGCTTTAAATCCTCCTTTTGTGACCTGTTTGAATGCTTCTCCTCCCTCTGAGTATTTTTGGAATCCTCTGAGGTGGAACAAACTGTTACCCGTTGTAATGATATGATTTGTGTTGCCGTTCTTAAATCTGGGCTTTTTGCTTTTGCTTTCACTTGTGTGAGTGCTTCTGCTGAGGCTGCTGACGCGGGAATTTGAGCCACGATTTGACCTTAATCTGCCAGTAATTTAGCAGAAGATAAGTTGGACTGAATTCTTCCTTCTTGTACAGCCCAATGTTAATTCCTAAGTGACAGGAGTGGGATCAGTACTAAAATGATCAAAATTTGGAATATTATTAGCTATTTAGAAAGCACTGTGTGAATTGTTCCTCTCCTTACACAAGTGGCACCTTGCTGTGAGAGTTTCTAGCAAGCGAAGGTGTGAGGCTATTCCCAGGGTATGCATTAAGGAGCGAGGTGCTCAACACCACCCAGAGTGATGTGTGGTCTTATAATGAAGACTCTCTGCAAGGATTTGTTTTGGGAACATTCAGATAATGTTTTTGATATCTTTCAAAACTGGGCCTAAGGGTTTCCAAGGAGTTTAGCATAAACATTGTTGATGAGTCTGCCTACAGATGAAAGTTAATGCACAAAGTTCAACAGAAATTCTGTTATTGCTAACTGGGAAGGAAAAAATAAGTGTTGAGTTGTTTATAAAGTTTTCTTGATAATTGTTTATAAATCTGAGTTGTAGTTTCTAAAGTAATAAAAATCTGTAACACAACATTAACGACAGAATCATAGAATGGCCTGGGTTAGAAAGGACCTTACAAACCCCCTGTCATGGGCAGAGACACCTTCCACTAGACCAGATCGCTTAGCATTTCATTGAACCTGGCCTTGAACACTCCCAGGGATGGGGCATCCACAACTTCTCTGGGCAACCTGTTCCAGTGCTTCACCATCCTCACAGTAAAGAATTTTTTCCGAATTCTAATCTAAACCTGCTCTCAGTTTGAAGCCATTCCCCGTTGTCCTGTCACAACGTGCTCTTGTAAATAGTCTCTCTCCATCTTTCTTGTAGCCTCCTTTCAGGAGAATTTGTAGGCTTGTAGGCTCCCTTCATAAGAATTCCCATATTAAAAGTCACCCACCTTTTGTAACTTCTCTGCAAGGTTATGTATGATTTGGACCTCAGAGCCAGTTAGTTTAATTTAGGAACTGAGAAGAACTTTAGAATTTATTGAAGTCTGTTATTCTCAGTATCAAATTTTGTAGTGGAATTGGGGTCTGATCATAGAAAACTTACTAAGGCCAATCTTGTACTTTCTCCAAAGTGTAATGACTTCAGTGACAATTTTGCCTACAGAAGGCCTCCCAGACTGGGGTAATGGCTTGAAATATATTCTGAACTTCATATTACGAAAGCCTATCTTCTAATCATTGCATGTTGTTTATAGTGTACTGAGAAAATTTCTGATACTGTGAACATCGAATATGTAGAGTGCTTTTATGAATTCCATGGAGACATTACATGAATAACTTTTGCATTGACATGGGTATAAAAATGGGTTTCAGATGTCACTGTGTGCCAAATTTCCAAAAAAAGCTACTAAATCTTCATGTATAATTTCAAGTGTACAATCATTCTCAAATGAAAAAGACAGAATTCATATATACATTGGCAATCTATGCATGTAAATTGGCAGTTAGCATGCATAAATCCTCAACGAAGTTTTTCTTTCAATTAGACTCTTGTTAAATCCATAGTAACTCCATTAACCTCAGGGGAATTACTTTGGATTTAAAATGCAGTTAAATAAGAATTCTGTTTGGCTGCAAGTTCATTTCCCTTCTAAACTACCATTCAACTGGTACAGGAAGAACAGTTTTAAAATGAAGGTAGCACCTGTTTTCCTGATGTGTGAGAATATATTTGATAATTCTGTTTCTTTTTTTTTTTTTTTAATAGATTCATCCTGTATGGAAAAGCTACTTTCTAAAGACTGGAAGGAGAAGATGGAAAAATTAAACACAAGTGATCTCCTTGGTGAAATTAAAGGTATCTGACTAGATCAAATTTTAAATGTTTGCATCTATTTTAAAAAGGGGATTGAAGATTTCTGAAAGTTGAGAAAAATAATAGAAATGGCTATCATAACTAGAGGGTACCTTCCTCTTTTTAGTCAATTCACCCTGGTTTTTAATGTGTAGCTTTGATATGATGGATGTCTGCCAAAAGAATAGAGTATGTCTAAATCAGTTATAGGCAGTATAAGGATGTTATCACAAACACCAGGTTAGTTACATTAGTTCTTCGGCATTAGCTCTGCCCTCTGAGCAGAGGAAGAGGAAGAAACACAGAGTTATGAGTACTTGGTACTGCTTCTTCCCAGCTGGATAAATTATACGTAGAAACTGTTTTCAGATTATAAAAGGGGGTAGTTGTGTGATTGCTGTTCTAAATATTTGATTCAAAACTGGCAAAAAAAGAAGGGTGTTTGTTTACATTAATTCCATTGCTGCAGAGAAAGAGCAGCTCTGGATGGAATTTGGGACCTAGTGAAACCAGTGCAAGTTTTATTGTATATATGGACAATAAGTTCCAATATTTTCAAGATTTGTTGAACCTAGCAAGATAAGAAAAGTGGAATTCTCTTGGCAGTTAAGTACTAGGTAGAAAACTTGAAGTGTTTCTCCCTACCCATCAATTCTTCCATGACTTTGCTTGGTGAGAAGAAATTCATTGTTATTGATTAGGCAACAAATTTAAAAGGTGGGGGTTTTATGCTGTAAGAAGGGGTCATAAGGCACGTTTGAGGAATACACAAAATACCTAAGAGTAATTTCTCTTTATTTGTATAAATTTATTAAATGGCAACTAAGATGTGGAGACAAAGAATCATGCTCATCATACTAATAAATCTTTACTATAAAAGAAAAAGATTCTATTTGATGAAAATGGATGCTTAGGGTTTTAAATTTCCACCAGGAAAACTTTAGATAGCACGATTTCTTTTATTTTTCATCTATACAAATAGATGAAAGATTGGCCCTTTTTAATAAGTGAGTTATAACTGGTTCCTTCAGGACAAAAAATCTGTTGGATTCTCCTAATTTTTCTGGCAAAATTATGACAATGCATGTACGTTAGGCAAGAAAGAATCTTATAGTAATATCAGTGACAGAAACATAGTATACAATTTTACAGGAACACGTTAAAATTGGCTGTAACAAAATCCCCCAAAATTATGTCTTGAAATCACATTCTATTTAAAGCCATATTGTCTCTTAATAGTGTGAAAAACAGTGAATGCTTGTTCAATTATTATTGTCCATTAATTGCAAAATATAGCTACTTAGTCTTTAAATAGAAATACTTGAATGCTATTAGCGAATCAAATTTAAAAGGGGTGGGATCTCTAACAATGCAGAGTAATGTTCTTTATTCTTTTATATGGCACATAAAGCTTTTTAATGAACTTTCATTTATTGAAAAAAACCCCACTTTATTTTTTTCTGGATTTATGTTGTTCCCCCTTTTTTCTTAGCATATATAATCTCTGCTGAGTGAATGAGTAGAGTTCTTGCTTCTAACCCTTTTCTCGTCTACCTACAAAGCATTCTCAGATTTGGAAGAATTTTCAACTCATTTGACTACCCTTTCTGGGTAGGGAATAGCTTATTAGCTGTATAAAAAGGATCATCAGATTAGGCTCACCAGATTTATGTGTTGACAGTCATTCAGTTAGTTTCCACAGCTCTTTTCCTGTGTAACCTGTCCTTAAGTGGTCATAATTTCTTCAATATTCATCTATGCTATTAGCTGGCTTCCAGCAAGATGCAGTAATGAATCTTTGCTGCTGCAACTGCATTTAAACTTTTTGCAGAATAACACCAACATGGACGATAAAGGATGGTTGCTCTTGTGTTGTGCTTTACACTTCAAAACTCTTGAGAAAGACATTGGTGTCATTTTATACACGAAGAAAACTAGATGCACAGTTACATAGCAGGAGTAGTGGCAGGTCTGAAGTTGGACTCCTTCCCTTTGGACTCCCAAATTCATGGCCTAACTGCTGTCTTCAGCTTGGTTACCTCCAGCTGATATTAACCTAATAGTTGGGTATTAGCTCATATGAGCATTTGTGTACCTTAAAAATTGTCTCAGAAAAAAGGGAACCCAAACAAATCAACATACATGGCAGTATGAAAACCAGATTACATGAAGGAAATAAAATGAAGTAGGGGAACCAGAGAGAATTTTTAGTTCACCAGAGGAGCATACTTTAAAATAAATCCTTTCATTGTTCAGGGTGGTAGATTTCAAAATCATGGAGTTCATTTTCATAGTGCTGATTGAATTTCCAGCTAGGTAACTGGCAGGGCATGCTGAGGTCTGAAAAAACCACATTTGAAAATCTGTTGTCTCTCAGAGGTCAAATATATTTTTCCTTAACTTCCGTTAGATTCTAAATAATTTTATTTAATTGGCTGATATTTTTGGCTTTTCTGCAGACTTTCTTCTCGTGTTACTGAGAGACTAACTTAAAGACATGAAGCGATGTAGTAAAAATAAATGAATGAGTTGATTAGGGGAAAAAAATCTTGATTATAGGAAAGCAAGGTGTGGTCCTGTGAGGAGCTGCTCTTTGCACTGACTGTTACTGGGAGTTGTTTATTTTAGAGAGAAGGCGTTGTTCTCGCTAAGGATAACGTGAGCACATATTGCTCCTCTGTGTCTGCACAACTACAGCTCTCCCCCTTCAGTGAAAGACTAGCATCTTGGTTGTGGGAAGGCAGCTCACTAAGAATCAGTGCCAGAAAAAAGGATGAAAGCAGAAAAAAAAAAGTACCACTGACACAAACTGTTTCTATTCATGTTTGGGAAGCACACAGACAAGAAGAAAAGATAATTGGCTGAGAGAAACAAATAAAAACGGTATTTTCTTGCTTTACCTTCTATATTTAGAACACAATGGTGTTAATCAAGACATAATTATAAACTATATCTATTAATTCAAACAATAGAAGCCAATACAAAAGTAACAAACAGTGAATAATTCATTTTTTCTCAGTGTGGGATTGTTCCTGTTCACAATTACTTTTGCATAGTGTGCTTTACTTGTAAAACTGCTTTTTCTGAGTTTCTTTATTAGGATTTCAGTTATTGATAATGGTCCAGATTCTCCCTTGAATTCCAGCCAAACAAGCCATTGACTTCAGGGAGGTTTCATGAAACTCTGAGGAGCATTTGGCAGAATGCTTTGTAGCCAAATTCCAGTGGTTAAATAAGTCTGCTTGTTCATTTGATATGTTTATAAATGAAACTCATAGGTCAAATTTTCAAAGGTCTGTGAAGCAATTGAGCTGAGTTAAATGCCCTGCTCACCTGGAAAAAAAACCCAACCTGAGCTGCCTATGCAAATCATTTGATTGTATGTTATTTGCCAGGGTGCTCATGCAAATAGATTTATTTAAGGTATACAAGCAATTTGTTAGGCTTACGTCCAGCTTTTGCAGTATTGGGTCTTTTTTTTGTGTGTAAAAACTAGGATCAGGAAATACTTTTCATTCTAATTGTCGTTATTATGTATTTGAATAAACAAAGTGATGCAGGACTCTTTTCTGTGTTTTCAGATACTTGGGTGCACAGAGTTTTGTCCCCACCCTCCCTCACTGCGTGTATTTCTGTTGCTTAGTTATCTGGTTTTTCTTCAGCAGCCACAGCTAGGCAGAGTAGCATCATTTATCACTATACAGAGTCTGTTTTAAGTTTTCTGTTTCTGTTCCAAATATAAATCTCTGGAATAGCACAGTCTTGCATGCATCAGGCAGTTGTCCTACTGAAATAGCCCGCAATGGTCTTTCTCAGCATGCAGAGTCTTTGAAGATCAAATAAGAAAGGTCAGTCTTTAAGTAACTTAAGCAATGATGTTATCGTGAAAGGGTCAGAATTGGTCTAGCAGCCTTAGAGGAGAGTGACTCCTGGGTCACCAGCTACTGTGTTGCAGGTTAGTCCTCTGGCTTCCATTGGTGGTGTTTACAACTGGAACTATCTATATTTATAGGCATTGTGACTTGAATGTCACATGCTGTCTTTGTACAGTATACTCTATTTTGGGGAGGTGAGTGATTGATGTCCATAGCTTTATCCAATACAGAAGGCTGTTTCCATTATGTGGAACCCTGTGCTTATTCCTTCTCCTTTTATATTTGCTAATTTATCAGTAAGAGCCTAAACCTCCTGTTTTGTGTGACATGTGCACATTTAATGGACTCAAAATATTTGGGTAGGTAGGAGGCAGCATTCCTGTTTCCTAGGAAATGTTGAATTTAGCAAAGCAAAGCAACTTCACCCACTTGATAGTCTTTTTCTAAGATATACTATAAACAATTTTGGAAATTATGTTTGTCCCTGGTATAAGAAAACAGAGTAGACTCAAAGAGGTGCTTTCTAGGAGCACTTTTGGTGTGTGTTAATGACTGGAAGAGGATAGTGAGGCACAACTCTTTGAATCTAGTAATTTAATGCTATCCATTTCTGAAATAGTCTTGGAGAGAGTTGTGCATGAATGAATCCTTGAGAAAGTTTATGTTTTCCTTTTTTACAAGTGAATTCATTTGTTTTTTAAGCATGACTTACAAAAAATTTGAAAATGTTAATTTTTCCCTCTATTTTATAAAATTTGTCTTCACAGAAAAGCTTTCAGGTGTTTCTCGAAGCACTATATCAAACCAAGTGAAGGTCATTTTGAGGAAAATAAACCTGTTTTTCTGTAGCCCTGATCAACACTATAGTCAGAATTTGCAGTAATTATTTTTCAGTATAATTGCTGGAAATTCTTTCTCATGGAGTCTAAGGATATATAACAGTCTGCCTCATAAATATGTATAAATAAATATATATAAGTCTTATATCACAGAGGAACTCAGAGGTTTTTAATTATGTCACTTTGTATGGCTATAGACATTTCAAAGCTCTCCTTTGTGCTCTCTGTTATAAACGTATTTTATTTCTTTTGAAGTCTGTGTGATATACATACTAGCAATTAAAAACCC